ATCAAAGTTTTTGACAGTTATTCCTTTAAATATACAATATCATAGTAATTCACAGGGTAGAAGAAGTTAACAATTTGGATCACTCTCTAGATTTTATTAATCACTATTTGCTGCTTACTTTGTAGAACACTTATCAATGGATCAATTGGTAAATCTAGTGAGCCTTTTTCACGGATTTGTGCCTGACCAGTAGGATGATTTGGTAGAGTTTTCTGTGTTTTCTTTACGTATCTAACATCCATACTGGAGCCAGAATCCCAAAGAACGTTGTTTTTGTAACCATCTCATTGTCAGATTGTATGTGTTGCATTTTTGTATTCAGTCGATCTAATTAAATTTAATCCCTTAAAAAACTACTTGGGAATTTTTAAGATTGTAACTTTAGCTAGAATTTGCCTGTAACTTTGAAAATTTTACGGAACTTGTGTGAATATTGCATTAATATTCTTTTTCGTCTTTTATTGGTATTCTATTTCTGTATACAGAATTGCATGTCAGCACACCATAGTATTTACTTGCCTACCTGTAAAAAGAATCAGAACCGAACAAACATAGATAAAGCCATTAATTAACTTTAGAAGGGTTTTAGGACAATAAACTTGTAGAAATTTTGAACTTCTTGCACTCGCTGGACAAAAAGCTAAGGTTGTGTAATCGAAAAAATTGATTTTTTAATAATTATTCTAGTTCAATATTGTTTATCATTTAAACAGACTGTTTATTGTCGTAAATTATGCAAATCGACTATTTACGTATTGATTAAACAAAAATAAATGAATGTAATTTCTGCAGAAATCAATGTTATTTGTCATTCAAACAATCACTTATTTTTGTTTACTTGGTTAATTTTAAGTTATAATTTTATATGAACAATAACTTGTTTAATTAACATAAATTTAAACTTTATGTTAGAAAATACATAATACTTATTTTCAGTAATTATTGTAAAGAATGGAAAATCACTTCTATTTCAAATAATTCGTTTAAAATGAACTAAGTATTTATAGTTACTCATTTGACGAAATTATATAAATACGCAGCAGTAAATGATATTTTTATTGTTGTCGTTCATTACTCTTACTAAATAATTATAACTGTGCAACACGTGCTACGTCAGACATTCATTATTGATACGAAAAGTATTGCAGGATATTCAGTAAAAATTTACAAATACGTAACGTGTTTAAAATGTATCATTTAGATCAGAGTTTTTTAACCTGTGGGTTGTGACCCTCAGAGGGTCGCAAAGCCATATACGGGGGTCGCGGGTAAAATAAAAAGACATGTTTTTGGTAGGTCCTGCCCTACAATAAAAAAACTACAATTTCAGTGAGAAAGCTGTGCCTGTTTATTATACAGTAAAATTGGTTTTTTGATCGATATTTAAATCTCAACAGAAAGAAAATTAAACACGTAGTTTTTAAAATCACTGACATAGTTTTAATATGGCCCTGGGTGTCGCCAGAATTTTTTAACTTGAAAAGGGGTCGCGTATTCAAGAAGGTTGAAAAACACTGATTTATATAATCCAAACTCAGAATCTGTATGCTAAATTTCGTGCATTTTTGCGACAGAGGATAGCAAACATTTATCATATAGTAGGATTATATCCTAAGTCTGGTTTTGGAAGCAAGGAAACAGTTTGTAAAAACAATGTGAGGCTTCGGAAAAAGTCCGAATCCCTAATAATAAGTGTTTAAAATTATTTTATCCTACAAAGTGATTTTGTAAAATGAGCATGGCAGGAAAAACGCATAAATCATGAAAACAATGGCAAATCGAGCGTTTTAGGTTAGTATCATCTTAAGTTATGGCAACGCGAAACTTGTCTAGGGGATGCCTTCCGGAAGGTTTTTTTTTATGAGGAACTGGCCCCTATTTAAGTGTTACAGGCGTGGATAAAACTCGGAAAACTCTACGTATCCAGCCAAATAAAAAATATAAGATTTCAAAGAGTTCCTCTATCCATTTCTGCTTGGAGAATGAAATTGCGATTGCAGTTATCTATGCAATGTCTTCCAAAATTTTAGTCAGTTTATTCCAGTTTTTCATGAATTTCCAGGAGAAACGTAACCAGAATAGGACCAAAACGTTGGCAAATTCAAAATAACAGGCGAACGAATAATGAACGGTCGTTGCGCAATGGCACGCATCCTAAATGTCAAAACTTGTTATAAAAATTAGAGCAATGGATCAATAAAATAATCTGTGCTCGAATCGGCTCCAGCTCTAGGGAAGAAAACCCATTGCGCTTGACACTAACTGGGATAGGGGAGATCCTTGTATTTTGGGACACTTTTCTTTATACGTTCATAATTAAGTTCAATTTGATTTTTAGCTATGACTATTGAATACTTCTATTAGTAATTGATAACATCATCTCATTTGGTGCAACACGTGACCATATGCTATTTTATTTATGAGAAAATGTCAAATAATTATTTACAGCTATTTGTTCCAAGGTACAATCATGGATTGTACTTCGAGACACCGATGTTTGCACCTTGGGACACGAACCAATCCTAACGTTTTTATAAATCTTAACTTCTGCTAGATGAAAAAAGGATAGTTTATCCAAGTCTTTTTCTTTATAACAATATTAGCTCCTTCAGTTAAGAAAAATGTTTCTTATGGTGGAAATGCAGGTAAGTATAAAGCTTAAATGTTCTTGTTGAATTTTCTAATTGTAGCCGTATTATTTGTTAAATAGGTAACTGTTCTGTAAAGGGCATTTAAATGATTGAAAACAAAAGCTAATCCCATTTTTGTATTAAGAAAATCAATAGTCATTACAAATATAGGTCAAAAACATTACTACTTACTAATTTTTCTTTAGAATTAATACCATGTTTCTGAGAGTAATTTTCAAAAAAGGTGCAATCTTCATGCACCCAGAATCGACAGGTAAATAATTAAATCCTATCTGCTGTGCTCTTGGTAGTAAAATAATTTTCACCGTACCCCACACAATTATTTTTCTCTTGAACTTCTTCACATGAATTTTCACTCTAAGTTCACAGAAGTTTCATCTTCAAAGCTACTAACTTCAACTTTTTTCTTCTTAAAAACTCACTTTTTAACAGATTCAGCATTTTTATTAACTTCATTGTTTTTCCTTCGCGGCCAACAGAAACATAACAAAAGTAAACAAAATAACATTAAATAAATAGTTGAGAAAAGCAATGCCTTGTACCTTGGGACATTTCCAAGGTACAAAAAATTCACTTCCCAAGGTACAATTTTCTCTTGTTTATAACAAAGTATGGTTATAATTTTTGACTTACAGAAATCCAATGTCATTTATTTAAATAAATACTTACGAATGTAGCTATAAACTAACTTTACCTTAATTAAATTACTCACCTCAAAATATTTCGATTAAAACTAAGATCCGAATGAATTGCAAAAAAAAACAAACACCTATAAAAATCACAAGATGTGTCACAGCGGTGAAACGAGTCAAAATGGCCGACTTTACGTCATGCCTTCTGAATGTTGTAATGAAATACCTCTGAATGTTGTAATGAAATACCTACTAGATATAACTACTTACTACTTCTCAATGTATTATTTGTCAAATAACGAAGTTGTCCCAAAGTACAAGATGCCCGAAGGTACAATAATCTCCCCTAATTTGACATCGTCCTTAAGTCCAAATCAATTGGTATTTTAATTATATTTTATTTACTTATTGTTTGAAATAGTTCTACAAAATTGTAATTTGTTAATACTAAATTACCATAAATTTTATTTTTTTCTCTTCTAGTCAATACCGAGATTGAGGACGAAGTTTTAAACGAGAAAACGTGTATATCGAACGTTCAGCGCCTTTTCCCTGTAAGCCTAGAAGTTTGACAATGGTGTTTGAATAGCCAGGGGAATCATGCTCGACATTCCAAACACCACTATCACACATTTAGGCTTACAGAGATGTAGCGCTGAACGTCTGATATACATGTTTCACGTTTAAAACTTCGGTTTCAACCTTGCTAATAATTGGGTCCTGAAAAACGATATGCTTAACCAGCCGAAAACTTTAGATTAATTAATAAATATTCTGTACACTAAAGTTATTATTAAGATATCGAACTAAAAATGTTACGTAATTAATGAAAAATTACTTTATCCTATCAAGAAATTTAATTTAAATGTATTAAATAAAAATAAATGTAAGAAATTAATTAACTTCACAATAAACATTATTTTAAAATCATTATAAAATATTTATAATTGTCAATAAAAGTTTTTTGAGAATATTTTTAGTCAAAACTTATTTCACATTCAATATGAACTTTATAATGTTTTTCCCAAGCAAATGTTACATTGCATATATTGCAATGGTAAGAAGGATTGACTAATGAATTGTGTATTGTTTAGTCATTTTCTAAAGCATTATAGTAGCAAAACACTTGAAAATAATGCAATTAAATGGGTATAGATCTGGCTTTATACGATGAGCATCCTGGTAAGCTTCAGTTTGAAATTGACTATTACACACAAGACAAAATGTATGGTCTGTATTCAAAATGAGTAAGAAGATTCTGATTTAAATGATTTTGTTCTTTGAAAATGACGATTTCTGCTAATAAAATTGCTGGGAAATACATTTGAATAAGTCGTTGTATTGTTACTCCCTTTCATTCTGGAAAAGAAAGTTTGACAGAATAGTCCATCGTTGTTTACTATCTTCCTGAAATGTATTATGCATTGACAATCTAATATCAATTTTTCAGGAAACGATTTATTACATATTTTACATTCGTAGGTTGTTTCTTCACGGTAAACTTTATGCCAATGAATAAAACACGATGCGTTCTCGAAAAGTCTATTAAATATACTGCCCTCTCAGGGTTTTTCTTTCGTGTGGATTCTGAGATGTCTATTGAAATTGCTTAAATGAGCAAAACGTTTATTACATGTTTCACATTTGTATGGTTTTTCTCCCGTGTGGGTTCAAAAATAACTATTCAACGTGGCAGAATGAGCAAAAAATTTATTACATGTCATGCATTTGTATGGTTTTTCTCCTGTATGAATTCTTATATGATTGTTCAGATAATCCAATCGAGCAAAACATTTATTACATGTTACGCATTTGTATGGTTTTTCTCCCGTGTGGGTTCTGATATGACGATTCAAATTGGTCCATTGAGCAAAAGATTTTTTACATGTTTCACATATGTACGGTTTTTCTCCTGTGTGGACTCTGATATGATGAATTAAATTCTGATCACTAGTGAACGACTTATCACAAAGCTTGCACTCGTAGTTCATTGTTCTATCTACGTATATCAACACTTACAATGGAAACACTACATTTTAGAGCTATTAATTTATATTGCAATTTTTCTTAAATTACAGTTAATAACTACACATACTGATAGAAAATTCACATGATTTAGCATACAACTTATCATGTTGACAATTCCTTATATCAAAATATATTTTTCAAGTATATACATATAATTATCCTTATATTCAATAGTTTACTTTTATTTGCATATAAAAGTGAATTTCAAAATAGACACACATTATGTTTTAGTACAATGGGGACAAAAGTCACTTTACCACAGATAGAGTTTGCTATTGTGAAGAAAAGAACGAAAGTCATTTAAAAATAATGTTATCTTTAATGTTTAGGTTAAAAAATCTTTAAGAGGTGTACATTAAAATGTGGAAAAAACTAATAAAATAATTAAAAGTAAAAAACGTAATTCATTTTTACATGGAGAAGTGCCTTTTGGTCCACTGTATATACTCTCAAACTGCTGCAATGTCGACTCTTACCGAAATTACTGAAATAGGAAATTTGTTCTTAAATCTATGTCGTTTCACAGTTTTGTTTCCAGTGCCATTTATTATGTATTAAACCATTTTGATAACTAAATTAGCATATTCACAAATTTTGGCTTATTTGTTGGGGCTAAAAAGTTCTCTGATTACCACAGGTTTATAACGATCACCCTGTAATTTACATTCATTTTTTATTTTAGTTATTAGATGTTCGTGTAACAGTTCATGCAGAAAATTCTTTACTAATCAGAATTACTAGATTACATTAGCATGTAGTGAAATCATTTAAATTCTTTCTTAATTAACTAAAAATTTAACTTTTTTAAATATAATTATCTACAGTATTGTTTCAATAGTTCAAAAAGTGGCTGATACAAATTCAAAATAAGAATTTCGATCAGGCCTTGCGTCCAACAATATCTACCCAAATTTATGAATTAACATTGAAAATAATAAATCCATGTTTACAAAATCGTTATCGAAAAAATATTCAATATCTATTATAAGTAAAAAAAATTTAGGCTTTGTCCGAGAATTTAATTTCGTTACTCTAATCCACCGAGTAAGATACTTTTCATTTATTTATTTTGATTTCACTTAAAATAATACAAACTTTTAATTATAAAAGATATTCTAATTTTAAAATATCTGAGATACTTACAGAATAAAACCAGTTTTATTTTTATTTTCAATATCTGTCGATTGATACGAACAATTTCCTTTCTTTTTCAATACCTATAAGCACACACACGTCGGTTATTTAACGTAATTTGCATAAACAAGTGTTGTATTTTAATTACGAATAACCTTAAATGTGACTGAAAATATTTTTATATATATTTCTGTGTTATAAAAATTACTTTATGTAATTATATTTAATTACAGGCAATCCAGGTTTTCGATAAAGTGTTTTAGGTAAACAATTTCTCCATCCCACTAGGTAAATTAATTTGCACAATGTCAGTATGATTAGAGAAATTTTATTTGGTTTAATATTAGTTTTATGTATATGATTACAATGAAATCCAAGATATTTCATATAAAGTATAGAATGAAAAAAATTAGGATAGGATTATCTAACTATCTGCAATATTCTATGTACAGTATAGTATTAAATTTATATTAAAGATATCCTTCCATGACAGATAAAAAAATACTGACATTACTGCAATGTTCATACTGACATTACTGCAATTGTTTCACTTAATATAAGTGAAAAGAAAACTTTATTAAAATAGAGTAGAAGTTCGTTTATCCGTAACTCACGGATGAGAATTGAGACGAATTGACAAAATTACAAGATTACAGAAATTTCTAGTAATTTTTTTTAAATGTTAAGTTATATGCAAGCCAAATTTGTGCAGATATTGCTGTACTGTACGTTTTGTACCATTGCAAGCTGCTCTGTATATATGAATCAATCCGAATAGCAAGCTGCTCTGTGTATATGAATCAAACACTCTTAAATCAATCCGAAAGATTTTACAGTGCTCGTTTCTTGTAATATGTTACATTGTTTAGTAAAAACATAACATAAATATACTGTGTTAAGATTGAAAACCTTAAAAAATTTTAAAGGAAACATTAAACAATGAATAGTAGATAATATAAATTCGGTATAAATGTTTACTGTTTTGAAAAAATTTATACTTTATATTTGAGCTGAACTTTAATAGCTAACATTTAAGAAACAAAGTTTTTAAATTTTACAAAGTTGCGTTGTATGTCACTATAACAACATGTAAAAGGAACCACTATATACGTTAAAGAATTACTAGAAATAGAAAACTGGCATCATTGACAATTGATCTAGAATTCTAAATTTTTATAACTTGCTACCACAACTATTGATAGGATGAGATAACACAGCACATGGGCAATCGGCCGTCATTTAAGAATTTTTATGAAAATTGACACTTAGGTGTGGCAGACGTTAAAACGTTTCGAAAAACCCAAGTGTCCAGGCCATTAGTCGTGTAATAACACGCGAATATTATTTGGGAATTTTCACGTTTTGCTAGGCCAAAAGCTTGTTAAAAATAATGATATTTCAAGTTTGAAAAACATTACTTTGTTTACGATCAATACCAAAGAATTGAAAAAAAGAATTAATTAGTTACGATTATTGTCGGTTTTCAACTTGAAACCACTGTAATCTGTAATAAAAGTGTTTTCTCTAAATTCGATAAAGTCGTGCCATTGTGCCGCATAAGAAAAATACTTTAATAATACTATAATATTTCATTTAAATACATAATTGAAGTGTTTTTCTGGCTCATTTCACTATTGTTTCTATCAATGATTATGATAAAAGAGAATCCTATGTGTGGAAGCATCAGTTATATGTTCAGTAGCTACGATATACCAGCTATAACTGTCTTACTCATAATATGCAGTCTGCATTGCTGTGGAATTCCGTTTTATAAAAGAAACAAAGATAATGTATTTTTCATTTTGTATTATGTATTTTTCTCCTGTATCTAATTTAATATTTATCTTGTATACTAGTACTAACCTTATAAAAATATGAAAAGTGATAGCCATAATGTTCAACCTTTCAATTGTAAACAGTCAATGTTCAGTTTATTTGTAAATAGATTATAGTTACTAATAAACGGATATTTGTTATTCCAATCTTGTGTTTGTTGCACTTCCTTTAAAGCGCTGTCTCTCATATCGCCTGCATCCCGGGTCCAAATGCCTAAACACGTTATCGCTATCGCGTCTCTATGTCGCTTAAGACATACGGTGTCATTTTGCCGTGGTGCTGACCCTTCGGTCACAAATGTATTTCAGACTCATATTGTCTTTCTTCAGTTGTTATACTGTTGTTAGGTATGAAACTGTACAAATCAAACGAACAAATACAATTTTAATTTTAACATTATTATTTAAATATAAACAATAAAACAAATTTACGTTAGGTATAAAAATCAAATTATAAAATACACATTTATCATTCAAATCTTCAAATGTATTATTGAAAACAATAAGATATATCCCATAAGATAAGAACATATTTAAAGTTCAAATAAAACAAAAATTGACGAATTTTCATCTTGATTTTACAGTGGCCTTAAACATTATTGTAAGTCCTCTCAATATGAGTCCGAAATATATTTCATTAAAAGGTACGTAAAACGAATTAAAAAAAAAAGTTATAACATTCCGAAGTCGTTTTTATAAGTTTGCGATAAAACAGCACTATTGGGTTGCTGAAATAGTAATAAAATACAATATTCTTGTCGCGATAATTGAAATGTTGTCTGAGATTGTTGTACTGAAAATTCAAATCCTTCATTCATTTGTGCTGTATTGTAATATCTTTTGTTTTTCACGTCGTCTTGCTATATCTAAGAGTCCTTTTGCTTTTATTATTTATTGTGGACTCAGTGTAGTTCTAAAGCGTGGATCGACATATAAGATTTGAAAAGGTTACTGAATCCATTACTGCACGGAGAATCAAATTGTCATTGCTCCAGCACCGGGGAAGAAAACGCATATCGCTTGACACTAACTGGGGGTAATTGACAATTTCCTTAATACCAAATCAATTTGTATTTTGATTATGTTTTACATACTTCTTTTTTTCTTCTCTCTAGCCTTTATAGTCCTTGAAGGACCTTGGCCTAATTCTGGATTTTCACTTATTTGTTTCCATCTTGAGTTTTTCTTTTTAGCAGCTCACACCTTTCTCAAATCAGCCTTCACATCCTTATTCAATTTTTTGTGGTATCTCTCTCAATTCTCTCCCCTCTGGTCTTTCTCTATACAATTGATACATTTTTCTTTCTGGTCCATTCTTTCCAAATGCTTATTCCATCGAAATCTACCTCTTTTGATTTTTGTTACTATATCAGAATTTTCATATAAATGTTCATGTTCCTTATTACTTCTTATTTTCCATTTTTCTCTTTCTTGTACTTGCCAATATATTCATTTGAAAATCTTTCTCTCAAATCATCTGAACTGTTCTTCATGTACACTTTTCATTGTTCAAGACTCGGAGCGGTATATGAGTACTGGTATTATAATAGTTTTATATATCCTGATCTTTCTGCATCTTGATATTTCTTTAGAATTTAGATGTTAGAATTTGTGTTAAGGTATAATAGCTTGTATTTCCTGCTATCACTCTTGCCTTTACTTCTTCATCAATTTTGTTTTTTTCTGTTAGCTGAGTTTCTAAGCATTGAAATTTATTTACCTGTTTATGTTTGTGGTCCTTTATATGTAGAATTTTCCACTTGGCAGCTGACTGTATTTTCTAATTACCTTTATATATTTTGTTTTTTATCATTAACGGTTAGGTCTATCTATTGCTACTTCATCCATTATTTTAAATGCTTCTTCGATTACCTGTTTACATCTTCCCAATATAATTATATCATCCGCAAGTGCTAAGCACTGTAAATGTCTTTTAAATATCGTTTCTCTTGCAACTACATCTATTTCCTCATAAACTTTTCTAATTACCACTATTAATACTAAGTTAAATAAAACTGTAAAAAGTACATCTTTCTGTTTGAGTCCTTTCTTTATTGCAACTGCTCTTGACATATATCTCTGGATCACAAGTCTGCCTTCCGTCTTCTCGAAAGTTCACTTTTTTATATTTATAAGTTTTAGAGGTATTCACAATTCCTGGAGACTCTCCCAACCTTTTTCTTTTCTAATACTATTAAAAGTGTCTTTAAAGTCGATAAAAAGTTGGCATATCTCAATATAATACTCGTCGCATTTCTCCAGAATTAACCTTATTGTGAAGATTTGATCAGTAGTTGATCTGTTATTACGAATACCGCATTAATAATCTCCCACTATATTTTCCAGGTATACTGTTAACCTCTTTGCTAATATTAAAAAAAAATTATAAACTTCATTCAATAAAGTAATTCCCCTGTAGATACCAAAATCTATTTTGTCTCCTTTTTTGTGTATTGGGCATATTATTTCTCTGTTCCAACCTTGTGGTATCTATTTGCTTTTCCAGTTTTTCTTAACGAGTTTACTTATTTATAGTTTAAATTTCACACCACATGTTTTTATCATTTCCGATACTATTCCATCCTTCCTAGGACCTTTGTTGTTTTTTAGAGTTGTTATTGTCCATCTCAATTCGATTGGTCTTGGAAATTCACATCCCCCATTTTCACATTTTTCTCCTTCCTCAGAATTTACCTCTGAGGCTTCTTCGTCTATTATTGTTTCCGTCTGACCCTTTATAGATTCTACTCCATCGTTTAATAGTAGCTCAAAATATTCATCCCATCTATCTAGAATTTTACTTTTCTCACCAATGAATTCTCCTTCTTTTCCTGTACATAAACAAATTTTTGGTTGACACTCTTTTTTCTCTTTATTAATCTTCATATAGAATTATCTTATTTCATTAGTTCTCCTATTTTCTTCTATTTTTTTTTTAGCTTTGCATTTAGCCATTCTCTTTCTTTCTTCCTACACAATTTAGATGCCAGCCTTCTCTTTTCTTTGAAGTCTTTAATATTATTTTCAGATTCATTTTGAATCACCTTTAACTGCGCATTTTTTTTTCTAATGCATCTCTACAATCCATATCAAATCAACTATTTCTCTTTCTTTTTCTACTAATTCCAAGTACTTCTGCTGCAGTTGCGATGACACTTGATCTTATATCTTCTCATTGTTCTTTAATGTTATTTGGTCTCTGTCAATTTTCCTTTGCCTTCATCAGGTTTTATTCAAGCACCTGTTAATATTTAATTTTAATTTTATTTCTGCTTTAGAGATACGATTTCATATTTCATAGAACTCTTTGCTCTTCCACCTCTTGATTTGATTGATATTTTTTGTCTATAGTTTGCGCTCACCAAGTAGTGAGCTGTACTACAATTTGCCCCTCTTTAAGATCTTGCATCTGTAATACTGCAAACTTTACAGTATTACCATCCAGTGAAATCCATGTATCTAAATGTATTATTTTATGAAGAAACACTGTTTTTTGCAATTACCATATTATGTCTTGAAGCTAGGTCCACTGCTCGTTTACTATTGTCATTATTATTTTCATAAATGCTATTTCTTCCGATGACTTCTTGATACACTTCTCTTCCCACCTTAGCATTCCAATCCCCCAGTATTAGTTTAACATCATGTTTTGGAACTATCCCTAGGACTTCCTCTAACAGACTATAAAATTCATTTTTTACGTCTTCCCTCTTCTCCTCAGTCAGTGCATGCACACTAATCATTGTGATAATAAAAAATCTTCCCTTTACACTTATGGTAATTATTCTTTTATTAATGCATTGATAATTTAGAATAGAATATTGCAGCTTTTTTAAATCATAAATACAGTTTCCATTTGGCCATTTACACAGCCACTATGAACTATTAAGTATTTATCTCCCTCTAATATACTAATATCTTTCCAACGTTTTTCTTGAATTGCGGCAATATATATATTATATTTTTCTGGTTTTCTCTAAAGACCTTGAAATAGGCTAGTGCTAAATAAACTTCTAAAATTCCAAGCACCTATTGCTAAGACATTTTTCGTCGTCCTTTTCCTTTTATTTTCTATTTTACTTCTGTTCATTCTATTTATAAAAATCATATGGCTGTCTATCTCACTGTTCTTTTCATTTCTTTAGTCATTCATTTTAGAGCCATCCGTGAATTTCCTTTTTGTGTCGTTACAAGATGTTTTTATAAGATAGTGGGAAAACCCGGCGCTCAACCCCCATTTCGTATGGCTAAATTAATATTATAAAATCGTAAATATCGTAATTCTATTACTTTCATAATTCGGAAAATTTCGAAAGCAGTACGAAACCATTCAAATTTTACTTACTTATTGTTTAAAATAATTCTAAAAATTTGTAATTATTTAATTTAAAACTTTTATAAATTTTATTTCTTATCTTCTAATTAGTTAACAGCAACTCCTAGAAGTTTGAGAATGGTGTTTAAATAGTCAGCGTAATCACGCTTGACATTCCAAACACCATTGTCAAACTATTAAGCTTAAAGCGGGTCTGAACGTCTGATGTACACGATGTCGTGTTTAAATCTTCGGCCTCAACCTCGCTAATAATTGGATCTTGAAGAACGACATGCTTAGCAAGCCAAAAACGTTTCATTAATTAATAAAAATTCTGTACACTAGAGTTGTTATTAATATATCGAACTAAAAATGTTATGTAATTAATGAAAAACTACTTTATTTTATCACTAAATTTAATTTAAATGTATTAAATAAAAACAAATATAAAAAATTAATTATCTTCACAATAAACTTTATTTAAAAATCACTTAAAATACTTTAAAATGTCAATAAATTTTTTTTTGGCATATTGTCAATCGAAATTTTTTAAACAAAATTTATATTATATTCAAGATAAACTTCATAATTGTCTTCCCAAGCAAAATATCACACTGCATTTATTGAAATGGTAAAACAAATTCACTAATGAATTGGGTATTGTTTTGTGTTTTTCTAAAGCCTCATGGCTACAGAACACTTGAAAACAATGCAATTAAATGGGTATAGATCGTGCATTATACAATGAGCATCCAGGTAAGCTTCAGTTTGGAATTGACTATTACACACATAACAAAATCAATGGTCTGTGTTTAGAAAGAGTGGGAAAATTCTGAATTAAATGATTTTGTTCTTCGAAACGACGATTGCTGCTAACATAATTGCTCGGAAATACATTTGAATAAGTCGTTGTGTTGTTACTCCCTTTCATTCAGCTGGAGAAATTTTGATGGGATATTTCACAGTTGATTACTATCTCCACCAGATGTCTTCTGCAACGGCAATCTGATATCCATTCTTCAGAAAACATTTGTAGGGTGTTTCTTTACTGTACAATCTATGATGATGAGTTAAACACGAAGTGTTCCCAAAAAGTTTATTACATATTCTGCACAATTTAGGCTCTTCTCTTATGTAGATTCTGAGATGATGATTCAAACCGCTCAAATTAGCAGAACATTTATTACGTTATGCATTTATGATTTTTCTCCCGTGTGGGTTCTGAGATGTCTATTCAAATTGGTTGATTGAGCAAAACTTTTATTACATGCTGTGCATTTGTATGGTTTTTCTCCTGTGTGGGTTCTGATATGACGTTTCAAATTGCTCCAACGAGCAAAACGTTTCTTACATGTTTTACATTGATAGGGTTTTTCTCCCGTGTGAGTTCTGATATGACGTTTCAAATTGCTCCAACGAGCAAAACGTTTCTTACATGTTTTACATTGATAGGGTTTTTCTCCCGTGTGAGTTCTGATATGACGTTTCAAATTGCTCCAACGAGCAAAACGTTTCTTACATGTTTTACATTGATAGGGTTTTTCTCCTGTGTGGATTCTGATATGACAATTTAAACCCTTTTTCCTAGTAAACGACTTATTACAAAACTTGCATTCGTTGGCCATTGTACTATCTATGCCTATCAAAACCTGCAAAGAAAACACTGCATTTTATATCTATTTATTTATATTGCAGTTTTTTTCTTAAATTACAGTTAATAACTACACATAGTGATTGTGATTTACATGTTTTAGCATACAACATATCATGTTGACAATTCCTTACATTAGGATATATTTTAAAATTGTTCTGAGATGAAAATTGAAATTGTTCAAATAAGCAAAACATTTATTACATGTTTCACATCTGTAGGGTCTCCCTCCTGTGTGGATTCTGATATGAAAACTTAAACTCTGTTTACTAGCAAGACACTTATCACAAATTTTACATTTGTAGGTCATGGTACTATCAACTCCTACAAAGAAAACACTGCATTTTAGAGCTATTCACTTATATTGCAATTTTTCCTTATATTACAGTTAATAACTACATATACAGATAACAATTTACATGTTTTAGCATCAAGCTGACAATTCCTTACATCAAAATATATTTTTCAAGTATAAACATAACACTAAACTATTTAATATGAGGCTCTTTATATTTGTGTATAAAAGTGAATTTCAAGGTATAGGCATATTATGTTGTAGTATAGGGTGGGACAAAAGTCACTTTACCATAGAAAAAATTTGCTATTGTGAAGAAAAACACACGGGTGATTTAAAACATGCCATCTTTAATGTTCAGGCCAAAAAATTTCTAATATGTGTATATAGAAATGCTAAAAAAATTATAAAATAATAATCTTTATATTAAATTGTTTAGTTATATTTGTGTATAAAAGTGAATATCAAAGTAAAGGCATATTATGTCGCAGAACTGGGTGGGATAAAAGTGAATTTACCATACAAAAAGTTTGTTATTGTGAAGAGGGAAATGAGGGTAATTTAAAAGATGTTAACTTTAATATTTAGGTAAAAAATATTCCAAGAGGTGTATATTAAAATGTTAAAAAATAATGAAAAGTCAAAATGTTATTTTATTTTAACCTGGAAAAGTGAATTTTGGCCCACCGTATATACTCTCAAACTGCTGTTATGTCGATTCTTACCTAAATTACTGTGTGAGAGCCAGAATTAGGGAGAGTCCGTTCTAAAGAAATTAGGTTAAAAAACGATTTAAATTTCAAATAGAAACTTAATATTTTTCTAACTTTGACAAAGTTATCGAAGAACGGATGTCAATATTTTCGATTTTGATTGGAAGTTCATTTCCTTTCTTACGACCGACTCACGAGATGATTCAGATGCAGCCTATGCACACGTTACTTGGCCGTTTTAAGGAATCCGCTATAAAAGAGACATTTTTTGCCACTCTGGGTAGCCCATGAAAAGAGTATGATACAGAACTTAGGTATTTCATCGAAAAATGGTTACCATACAAAATTTGGGCAGTTCTCCATAAGAAATAATTGACACCTAAGGAGCCGCTCCTCGGAGAGAATTTGCCATGCAAATTTAACAGTTCGGATTAGCAATGCTACGCCTGTTTAACGAAACTACGAGTTCAAATAGAACATCCTCGTCATATATATCTAATATTTATGAAAGAAGAAAAGTACTGCTAAGGTAGTATAACCTGTTATAAATATTGTAAATTCTATCTACGAGTGATAGGTAGAATTAAGGTTTAGTTTATAAGGTAGATAGTTTTTCCGATTATCGATAATAATTTCATGTATTTGCATCATCATAGTAATTGTATTTTCTTTGACTAATTGTATATTATTGTATTTATCCATCTATTTGTTATATTAAATTTTATTGTTATTTAATATAGTTTTATTAATGACTAAAATCTATGCCTAGTTTCACTACACTTATCCGTATCTCTCCAATTCGAGATTTCCTTGATTACGCGTTAATCCGCGGATTAACTAGATTAACTGGTGTCAGGAAAACGACATCCAGGGGATCTTACAAACTTCTGGTCTAAAATAAATAACTTAGGAAGCCATCCATTGACGATAGAAATCGGATCTAGCGATCGTGTGCTGATTAAGTGGTACACAAGTTTTGTCCTATCCCCAGTTTATCTCACAACTGAAATAGGAAATTTCTTCTTAAATCTACGTCATTCCACAGTTTTGTTTGCAGCGCCATTTATTATGTAAAAAAGAATTTTGTTAACTAAATTAGCATATACACAAATTTTGCCTTATTTGTTGGGGTTACAAAGTTCTTTGAATACCACAGGTTTATAACGATTTCCTTGTAATTTACGTTCATTTTAAATTTCAGTTTATAGATATTCGTGTAACACTTGATACAGAAAATTCTTCACTAATCGGAATTACCATAATATCTTGATTATATTAACATGAAATAAAATTATTTAAATTCTGTCTTAATTAACTAAAATATAACTTTTTTAAGTGGAATTATCTACATTATTGTATCAATAGAGCAAAAAGTGACCGATAGTGAATTCAAAATAAAAATTTTGATCAGGCCCTGCGACTAACTATATCCATCCATATTCAGGAGTAAGCATTGTAAATAATAAATCCACGTTTACCAAATTGATATCGAAGCAAAATTTAATATTTAAATAAGTAATAAAAATTTAGCATTGTCTGTGATTTTAATTTCGTTTTTCTAATCTACAAAGTAATTTACTCTTCATTTAATAATTTTCAGTTCACTTAAAACAATACAAACTTTCCATTATAAAAAATATCCTAATTATAAAATACCTGAGATACTTACAGAATAAAACCAGTCTTATTTTTCTTTCAATTTCTGTGGATTGATAAAAACAATTTTTTTTTTTGTCTCCCAGCTCCTATAAGCACACACACGTCAGTAATTTAACGTAATTTGCATAAACAACAGTTGTATTTTAATTTTGAATAACCTTAAATGCGATTGAAAATATTATATTTATATATATTCTTATGTTATAAAGATTACTTTGTGTAATTATATTTAATTACAGGTAATTCGGTTTTTGTTATTCGATGGAGAAAGTGTTTTACGTAAAGACTTTCTCCATCCACACTAGGTAAATTAATCTTTCAAATGTTATCATTTTTAGTGATATTTTATTTGGTTTAATACTTGTTGTATGTATATAATTACAATTCAATCCAACATATCTTATATGAATTATAGAATGAAAAAATTTTAGATAAAACTATATAACTATCTGCAATAATCTTTGTACGGTATGGTATTAAATTTATATTAAAGATAACCTTCAATGGAATATAAAAAAAGTATGATATTATTGCAATTCTCATACAATTTGTTTAACTTAATATAAGTGAATAGCAAACTTTATTAAAATACAATAGAAGTTCGTTTATCTGTCACTTATGGATGACAGATCAGATGAATTAAAAAATACAGGATTAAAAATTTTTCTAATATTTTTATCTAAATGTTAAGTTATATCTGAACCAAATTTGTGCAGAAATTGCTGTACTGTACAGTTTTTAAATTGCAAGCTGCTCTGTCTGTGTGAATATGCACACTCTTGAATCAATCCGAAAATTTTACAGTGCTGGTTTCTTGAAAAATATCAGATTATTTATTAAACACAAAACAGAAATATATTGTGTTAAAATTGAAAAACCTTAAATAACGTTAATGAAAACATTAAACAACATATAATAGATAATTTAAATTTGGTAAAATGTATGGTATTTTGGGTGAATTTTCACCGAATATTTCAATTAAACTTCAATAGCTAACGGTTAAGAAACGAATAGTTTTAAATTTTACAAAGTTTTGTTGTATGTTACTATAACGACATGTACACTGAAGATAATATAAGTTAAAGTATTACTGAAAATAGAAAACTGGCATCATCGACAATTACTCTAGATTTTAGCTATTTATAACTTTATATTACAACGATTGGTACAATGAGACAACCAGTATACGAACAATCTGCTGTCATTTAAAAATTTTTTCGAGAAACCGACATTTAGGTGTGGCACACGTTAAGATGTTTTGAAAAACCCGAGTCGCCAGCCCATTAGTCGTGTAATAACACGCGAATATTAATTTGGAATATTTATCCTATGCTGGACCCAGGGCTTATTATTAAACACAATGATATTTGGAGTTTGAATAATATTACTTTGTTTATGATCAATACTAAAAAATGCAGGAAGAACTAATTAGCTACAGTCATTGTCTATGTTTTAACATTTTTGTTTTTAACTTCATTTCTGTCTTTGAAGTAATTCGAGTATTTTTCTGATGCTGCGCAGTGACAAGACTTTATCGAATTAAGGGCAAATACTTTGATTACAGATTACATTGGTTTCAATTACTGCAATCTGTAATTAAAGTATTTGCCCTAAATCCGATATGGTCTTCTCACAGTGCCGCTTCAAAAAATACTTTAATAATACTATAGTGATTCATTTATATACATATAACGAGAGCTTTATTAAAGTGTTACTCTGGCTCATTTCACTATCGTTTCTATCAATGATTATGATAATAGCGAATGTCATGTGTGGAAGCATCAATTATATGTTCAGTAGCTACGATATACAAGCTATAACACTCTTACTCATAAAAAGAAAAATGATCTCTGCTCATTATACCAAAATCTACTGTCCTGAAAGGAAAGCATTCCTGGAAAGAATTGAGATATTCTATTTGAAATTTTTTTTCAATTATTTATTAAATCTATAATGCTATCAATCACATTTAGCATATTTTAATATTTCGAACTGAAGAAATCGAACATAAATGATAACGAAGCATTGTTTTGTATCATTGTTCTTTCCCATTGGTGCATGTATGCACTCAGTCACATCATATCTATGCTTTTGTTATCAGCAGTGATATTCACTGTAATTTTAAAACAGATATGTTCACTTGACAAAAAGATAAACAACGAGTCTGACGATATAAAACAATTTTGAAATGCCCTATGGAGAGAATTCGGAATTATGTAAATACTTTCAAGAAAAACGAAGAATTGAAAATTTTTATTTCCATAATATACGTTTACTTTTTGTGTGTTTTTATATTTTTGTTATATGGAGCCTTCTTTATAGAAATGAATCATATGGTGAAAATAGTCTGCGCTGCTTGGGCAATTATATCTTCTACAGGTCGTGTTGCAGTTGCTTGGAATTTGTGTTTTATTTATATTGGTAAGAACTTAGATAATGTTAATTTATCTGAACTTATATTGTTCACAGATTCGTTTTTTGCAGATATCTGATAATTTCGTTTTAATTGGAAGATTTTCATTTGCATGTTTTCCTTTAGAATACAAATTTAGAGTACGTTTTAACGTTTAATTTTTAAACTTATAATTTGTAAGCTAATACAGGATGGCCCAAAGTGTCATTTATAGTTAAATTGCTGTGCTATTTAACTA